AAAAAGATTTTATTTATTTGACAGATGGAGATCACAAGTAGGCAGAGAGGCAGACAGAGAGAGAGTGGGGGAAGCAGGCTCCCTACTGAGCAGGGAGCCTGATGCGGGGCTCGATCCCAGGACCCTGGGATCATGACCTGAGCCAAAGGCAGAGGCTTTAACCCACTGAGCCACCCAGGTGCCCCTGTCCTTTCTTTTATTAATGTATTGTATCACACTGATTGATATGCGGATGTTGAACCACCCTTATAGCCCAGGAATAAATCCCACTTGGTCATGGTGAATAATCCTTTTAATGTACTGTTGGATCCTATTGGCCAGTATCTTAGTGAGAATTTTTGTATCCATGTTCATCAGGGATATTGGTCTGTAATTCTTTTTGGTTGGGTCTTTGTCTGGTTTGAGGATCGAGATAATGCTGGCCACATAGAAAGAGTTCATAAGTTTTCCTTCCATTTCTATTTTTTTGAAACAGTTTCGCAAGAATAGGTATTCTTTTTAAAATACTTGTTAGAATTTTCCCTGGGAAGCCATCCAGCCCTGGACTCTTATTTTTTGGGAGATTTTTGATTACTGATTCAATTGCCTTGCTTGCTATTAGTTTTGTTCAGGTTTTCTATTCCTTCCTGGTTCAGTTTTGATAGTTTATATGTCTCTAGAACTGCATCCATTTCTTCCACATTGCCTAATTTGTTGGCATATAGGTGCTCATATGTTCTTATATTTCCTCTGTGTTGGTTGTGATCTCTCCTCTGTCATTCATGATTTTATTTATTTGGGTCCTTTGTCCTTTTTTTTTTTTTTTTGGATAAGTCTGGCGAGGGGCTTATCAATCTTACTCTTTCAAAGAACCAGGTCCTAGTTCCGTTGATCTGTTCTAGTTCTTTTGATTTCTATTTTATTGATTTCTGTTCTAATCTTTATTAATTCCCTTCTCCTGCTGGGTTTTGGCTTTATTTGCTGTTTTTTTTTTTTTTTTTCTGCAGCTCCTTTAGGTGTAGGGTTAGGTTGTGTATTTAAGACCTTTGTTATTTCTTGAAAAAGGCTTGTATTGCTATATACTTCCCTCTTAGGACCACTTTTGCTGCATCTCAAAGATTTTGAATAGTTGTGTTTTCATTTTCATTTGTTACCATAAATTTTAAAAATTCTTCTTAGTTTTCTGGTTGACGTATTCATTTAGTAGGATGCTCTTTAGCCTCCATATATTTGAGTTCTTTCCAAATTTCCTCTTGTGATTGAGTTCCAGTTTCAAAGCACATGGTCTGAAAATATGAAGGGAATGATCCCAATCTCTCGGTACCAGTAGAGACCTGATTTGTGATCCAGTATGTGATCTATTCTGGAGAATGTTCCATGTGCACTTGAGAATGTGTATTCTGTTACTTTAGCTTGGAATGACCTGAATATATTTTGAAGTCCATCTGTTCCAGTGTGTCATTCAAAGCCCTTGTTTCCTTGTGATCTTCAGCTTAGATGATCTGTCCACTGCAGTGAGTGGGGTGTTAAAGTCCCCTACTATTATTGTATTATCAACATTTAATTTTGTTATTAATTGGTTTATAATTGGCTGCTCCCATGTTAGGGGCATATTTACAATTGTTAGATCTTGTTGTTGAATAGACCCTTTAATTATGATATACTGTCCTTTCTTATCTTTAACTAGTCTTTGGTTTAAAATCTAATTTATCTGATATAAGGATGGCTACCCCAGCTTTCTTTTGATGTCCATTCGCATGATAAATGGTTTTCCACCCCCTCACTTTCAATCTGGAGGTGTCTCTGGGTCTAAAATGAATCTCTTATAGACAGCATATTGATGGGTCTTGCTTTTTTATCCAACCTGATACCCTGTGTCTTATGATTGGGGCATTTTAGCATATATCCATTTTTAGTATATATCCATTTTTAGTAAAAGTAACCATTTACTTTCAGAGTAACTATTAAAAGATATGAATTAGTGCCATTGTATTGCCTGCAAGGTGACTGTTACTGTGTATTGTCTCTGTTCCTTTCTGGTCAGTTACTTTTGGGCTCTCTCTTTGCTTAAAGGATCCCTTTTAATATTTCTTATAGGGCTGGTTTGGTGATCAAATTCTTTTAGTTTCTGTTTGTGCTGGAAGCTTTTTCTCTCTCCTATTTTGAACAACATCCTAGTTGGGTAAAGTATTCTTGACTGCATATTTTTCTCATTTAGCACCCTGAATACATCATGCCAGTACTTTCTGGCCTGCAAGGTCTGTGGATGGGTCTGCTGCCAGTCTAGTATTTCTATTCTTGTAGGTTACAGACCTCTTGTCCTGAGCTGCTCTCAGGATTTCGAAGTTTCACTACTATATGTCAGGGTGTGACCAATTTTTGCTTTTGAGAGGGGTTCTCTGGACTTGGACACCTGTTTCCTTCCCCAGATTAGGTAAATTCTCTGCTATAATTTGCTCCAGTATACCTTCTGCCCACCTCCCCTCTTCTTCTGGGATCCCAATTATTCTAATATTGTGTTGCTTTATGGATCACTTATCCCTCGAATTCTCCTCTTGTGATATAATAGTTGTTTATCTCTCTCAGCTTTATTCTCCATCACTTTTGTCTTCTATATATACTAATCTATATCTACTAGTTCTCTCTTCTGTCTCATTTATCCTAACATCTAGAGCTTCCATTTTTTATTGCATCTCATTAATAGCCCTTATTTTGACTTGATTAGATTTTAGCTCATTTCTCCAGAAAGGGATTCTTGTGTCTTCTATGTTTTCTTTAAGCCCAGGTAGTATCTTTAAAATCATTATTCTGAACTCTAGTTCTGACATCTTACTTATATCCATAATGATTAGGTCCCTGGCAGTCAGTACTGCTTCTTCTTTTTTTTGAAGTGAGTTTTCCCATCTTGTCATTCTGTCCAGAGAAGAGATGAACAAGAGAACAAAAATACTAAAATGGCAACAATGACCCCAGAGAAATATACACTAAACAGACCAGAAGGGACCTGAAAAGGGGAAAAAAAAAAAAAGGAATACAATCAGGTGAACAGACCAGAACTGGATCTTGTGTGTATTTTGGTCTGTTTCTTAGAAAGCTAGATCCCAAAACTGTAAAGTAAGAAAAACTTATATATGTAGAAAAATAAAATAAAATAAAATACAATGAAAGCATAGAATTTAAGTGTAAAAATGAAAACTGCGATCACTCCTGTCTCACTGGTCTCCATCCACAGTGTGCTCACCCAGCCTGTGACCAAGCGTTTCTATCTCAGGCACATGATCTGGTTTCTAGTCTCCAAACCCTGTAGACTCCTACAGTGCCCACCCATGCAGCTCCTCCCAGGGGAGGTAGGGAGAGTTTTGCCACAGTTCTGCAGCTTGCTGGGCCTCTGCTTGGAGAGTGGTCACCCAACTGTGCCATAGTTCCTGGTTTATAGCAACCCTGAGCTGAGAACCCACTTCTGGGCTTGCTGATTGCAGCCAGCTTGCCTGCTCTGATGCCTGGGGAACTCTGCCATGTGGGCACCTCCCCCTTCCTGTGACCCCAAGGACCCTGAGACCATGCTGTCCCACCCAGGATTCTGCCCCACTCTACCACCTGAGCACCTTTCAGACAGACACATAACTCACTGGAGCAGACTTTATTTTGTTTTATTTATTTATTTGACAGAGAAAGAGAGAGCATGAGCAGAGGCTAGGGTAGGGGGACACAATAGGCAGAGGGAGAACCAGACTCCCTGCTAAGCAAAGAGCCCAACGTGGGGCTCGATCCCAGGACCCCAGGATCATGACCTGAGCCAAAGACAGATGCTTAAACCACTGTGACAGATATCCCTGGAGCAGACTTTTAAAAGTTCTGATTTTGTGCTCCACTGCTATTATCACTTGGCCGGGCTGCTGACAGAAGCTCCTTCTCCCCACAGTTTATCTTCCCATTTATTGCCTCAGATTCACTTGTCTGCACCTTCTCCCTTGCAATATGCAGTCACTTTTCCATTTGCACAGTTGTAGCTATTTTCTTAGATCTTTGGTTGTGTTCACAAATATTCAGAATGATATGATAGCTATGTAGCTGAATTCTTGGGACCAGACAAAAACTAAGTCTCCTATTCCTCCGCCATCTTGGACTATCCCTCCCTGTCAAAATACCACTCAAAATTGTAATGAATTACATTTACATCCTTGCCCTGTGGGGCAAGGATGAATAATGAATTCATCCTTGCAATGAATTGTAATGAATTACTGATAAATCTTAGTAGAAACTCTGGGATATCAGTAAACTCAGTCGTTTATTCTTGTCTCTCAAGCTGTTTCTGTAATCTTTTACCTATCAGTTTAAAGATTACCTGTGGAAAATGAAAACCTGTATTAAGGCAAATGAAATAAAAGCAGTTTCAAATGTTAGGGTTCCTGGTTGACTCAGTCAGGAGAGTGTGTGACTCTTGATCTCAAGGTCATGATTTCAAGCCCCAAGCTGGGTGTACAGATTAGTTAAATTAATCAAACTTTTAAAAAAGTGACTTCAAATGTAAACCTGATAAAAAAAAAATTAGTTGTAATAGACACTAAAACTATATATAAATTCATTTTCATAGCTAAGTGTCTTGAATTATCATTACATCTTTTTTTCACCATATGAATAAACAATCAAAATAATCAAGACTTGACTACAGCAAAATAATCATAGTTCATGTTTCAAAGATATTTACTTCATCCTTGAATCACCAGATCTATTATCTGAAATATCAAAATAAAATGTTTTACTATTTTCTATTTTTAAAGTCTATATTTACTTTAGAACTAAGCACAAAAACTATTTCAAATACTACAAATAATATAATCAATTTAATATGTTTAGTGCAATCAGATTTTTAAGGCTTTAATTTAAAATTTGGACAATATAATAATTCTTTAGGATTAAAAAAAGCCATTTTATACATTCAAAGGAAAAATTTCCAAATTTGTGTTATTAATTAATAAAGGACTTATTAACTTAGGAATTTATAACAAAGCCAATGATGATTAAATTTAAATGTTTTTATTCACATGTATGGTAAATACTGTCCCCTAATAAAAAAACAATCACATTGTCTTTCAATCTGTCAAACTTATTAAAAAATTCATGTGTTTCTTTTCTGTATCATGTGTTGACATGATAAAGGATGCAGGTTGTAAAAATCAATTTAACAGACATTATTAAATAATTTCAAACATATGCAGAATCTTGGATAAATGGTTAAAAGTATAGATGAACATTAAATGTGGGCACATGGATATTTCATGTCCACCAATGGGTTTAACAGAAAATGTGTTTGCACTGATTTCTGGTAATAACTTGTTTTCCGTGAATCTTTAAACACCCAATTCCAAATCTTCCAGCTCCTGGATAAGGGCTTTCTCTTTTTGAATTTTCTCCAACTAGAAAAGTTCAAAACAACAAAGTTATTAAATAGGAAATGAAATAAAATAATTACTGGATATACAGCCAAAACAGCAAAGTTTATAAAAAGAGTATTTCTGATACTTTAACAGATCTACTGGAAAATACAGATTTAAAAATACAGGGAAACAAGCTCTAATTTTTTTCCTGGTATGAATCAAGGGGGAAAAGATGCTGTCTTATTGCAACATTGAGGGTCCAAGAAATTTTCCATTCTACACTTGGGCTTCCCTCAGAAGGAGAGAAAAGAGCAAACAGGGCAGTATAACCTGAGATATAGGAAGAAAGAGAATCTTATGTTTATCTATTTTAATAAATTGCCTTTATTTTTGATAGCAATGGCATTAGTATACCTCTTGGGAATAGTGATTCTCTCATTCACCATGATCTACATCCTATCTTCCCCTATCCTCTTCTAAATGTAAAAACATTTTACCAAATGGCATATGTTTTCAAAATAAGTTTTTCAATTATAAGCTCTCCCACTTGATTAAATAATTGTTTATAATAAAAAGAAGAGTGGTAGTAATTACAAGCATAAATGAAACATGTAAAAATGACCTGATTTTTTTCTAACTGTTTCCCAGCTGCTGCTTGTTCTTTCAGTTGTTCGATTGCTTTCAGTTTCTGTGAAAATCAAATATATTACGAGTCAAGAGGAAGGAAGAACAAGTAATTTTAGAATGCAAATTTTCTTAGTAACAATGCAATCACATGGATGGGAAAAATGAGTAAGAAGAATCAATTATCTTACCTTTGGATCAAGGATAGTCTGTTAAAATGCTAAGGCAAAATTTTTTGTTTTTTAACTTATATGTAAAATTGAGTATGTTAAGAACATGGGATTTGGCAAAAAAATTTTCAAGCTCTCAAGTAATTATTATATTATATATGTACATGTATAAGTATGTAAATATATCACCAACTTTACCACTTCTTGCACTTCATTGTACCCAGACAATGTGTTTGGCTTTAAGAGATATTTTGTAATGCAGCCTGGGAAGGCTCTAGAAACCTGGTTTTACCCCAGGGCCATCATCACAAACTGGCTGCAATAAGACAAATTAATAAACTTCTTTTTGTCTCTGTTTCTTCATCTTCAAAACTGGGATAAACATCTGTTCCTACCTATCTCACAGATGTCTAATGAAATACTAAGTATAAAAGTGTTCAGCGTATTTCTGTACAAATGTACATTTCTTATTACTCCAAGAATCAATAATAAAAACTAATAATAGCTATCAGACATTTGTGACTAGAACTAAAATCAGTTCCCAAATTATAGAATTTCATAGAGAGAAAGCAATAATCAGAACTGCTACAAACTTCTTAGATGCCTCTCTTTATATATTTCTCATGGATTTCTTTCAATAAATACATCTGGTTTTTACTTAAGTGTCTCACCTTCTTTAGGTTCTTGATTTTTTTGTCTATTTCAGGGTCTCCAGAGGTTGACTGTGAGACAGTATTTCGTGGTGTGCTCTGTGGGGCAGAAGTAGTTGCCAAATCTGGACTCTTCTCATTTCTTGCTTCCTGCAGGAAACATTTTCAAAAATTCAATTTTCTAAAATAAAAACATTAAAGTACTTCAACCAACACAGTCTTGGTGTATAAAATGCAGAAACCAAAATGTGATTTTATCTTTTATACTACATTTTATATAAATGATCTGAATTGAAAGTCTCATGAAGTAGCCACATTGTCCCATAACAGAAAGATACAATACAGCTTAAAAAAAAAAAAAAAAAAATCACAGTATAAGGAGACACCCAAAAGGATTTTACCATGCAATCATCATAGGGAACACTTTGTTAGGTCTAAAATTTGGAGTTGAAGTAGCATAATAATAAAATACTAATAAATGATAAATTAATAAATAATAAAATAAAATAATTAAAATAATAAAAATAAAAAATAAAATAAAATAATAAAATGGAAAATAATCCTATATATGAAAAGAAATGAAATGATTTTAGCAGAAAAACACAGGAGGTGTCTGTATCACCCTACAAGCCTTCCAAACTTTTGGATATTTTGGGATGTGCCACTATATGAATGGTTTAGAAATGTGAGAGGGCCCTTCTAATTTAATGTGTTAGAAGTTTCACTTTGATGATGTCCTCCAAAAACTCTAGTGAGTATGTATGATCAAGTACATGTAATGGATAATGTTACTAGATAAGCCCTGCAGAGATTTATTTATAATCAGATCAGTTCAGCTCTGTGACAAATTCCTAAGGAAAACTCAAAGGGATATTGCTCTCAATGTAATCAGACCTCTGATTCTGAACCACTTTTATTTCCCCTCAGGTGCCATATACTTGTTTTCTGGCCTTTGTGTGTGCTAGAACAACTTCAGGTTGCCTGGCTGACTCTACTTATCGTATAGGCCTTTTGAAAAATTCTCTCCCAACCCAGAAGACTGGATTAGTTGCACAACACATGCTCTGTATTCCTACTCTAACAGTATATTATACTATCTCCCATTAGATTGTACCAGAGGTTTCTTTGTGCCCCCAGCATAAGACCTGTTTTATGGCTCATGCTAAATAAATGAAGTAGTCAAAGAACTACTCTGCTTTTGTACTTATAACAAGACACACATTTTTACAAGAGGGGGGGAAAAGGTTATTTAAGGCTTTATTAGCCCCAAGACAGAACTTCTATTTCTTCCTTATAGAGTTCCCAGTGGAATACATAAAGCCCCAAGGCCACAACTCTTACTCAGAGTTCTGGGTAAAATGCTCTGAATACCAAAGCATCCTAGGGGGACATGAAACATGGTATCACTCGTATCTAGAAATATTTGCCTGAGAGTTTTTGGAGAGCATAGAACTGGAGTCACTTTTTCTTTTTAAAGCATGTTAGTTGTACTTTTTGTACATTCCAGTTAAAAAAATATTAACTTCTAACCTTCCATGTGAAAAAGCATTACTGAGCAAGTACTTTAATAAATAGAAACTGTTTAGATTCTACTCCTAAGAAGCCTATTGATTCTAATAATATGCGTATTATTAGAATAATAATAGGTTTTCATAATAGAAAACTAAAGAAGAGTGAGTAAAAGGGGAAGAGAGATACTGCGCCTATCAAAATTCACTTCTGGGGCACCTGGATGGCTCAGATAGTTAAGCACCTGCCTTCGGCTCAGGTCATGATTCCAGGGTCCTGGGATCGATTCCCGCATCAGACTCTCTGCTCAGTGAGAGCCTGCTTCTCCCTCTGTCTCTCTCTCTGTCCCTCATGAATAAATAAATTAAAATCTTGAAAAAAAAATCATTTCTGATATCAAGTAAGTATTTTTAAAATTTAGTTTGCAAAGAGCTGAGAAAAATTTTCTTCCTAAAGAAGACTAATGTCAATACATGTGAAAAACTACCAAGCAAAATATGAAACTTAACTTTCTACCATATTTTTGAAAACCAGGAATAAGTTAGAATGTCTGCATTATTATACTTAAATTCTGGTCATTCTCTAAAAACAATGCATATATGGTAAGATTAGATTCTTAGGTTCAATTCCTTTTGGTAGAGTTCATAAGCTTATAAAGTCATCACTAGTTTATAAAAGCACTTGGTTAGATTATATGTCTCTAACTCCTTTATCTTTGATTACTTAACTCAAGAGTCAGGGCTGAGAAAGTGGCTATTGTCATGGACCATTTACCTTTGTTCTATCACATGAAGTTAACTAACTCCAACCATCCATTTCAATAGACATTTTCCCGAAGATGACATACAGATGGCCAACAAACACATGAAAAGATGCTCAACATCACTCATCATCAGGGAAACACAAATCAAAACCACAATGAGATATCGCCTCACACCTGTCAGAATGGCTAAAATCAACAACACAAGAAAGAACAGGTGTTGGGGAGGATGTGGAGAAAGGGGAATACTCGCGCTGACGGTGGGAATGCAAACTAGTGCAGCCACTCTGGAAAACAGTATGGAGTTTCCTCAAAAAGTTAAAAATAGAGCTACCCTAAGACCCAGTAATCACACTACTAGGTATTTACCCAAAGAATACAAAAATACCAATTCAACGGGATACACACACCCCGATGCTTAAAGCAGCATTATCTACAAGAGCCAAATTATGCAAATAGCCCGTGTCCGTCAACTGATGAATGGATAAAGATGATGTGGTATATATATACAATGGAATTATGAGCCATAAAAAAGAATGAATCTTGCCATTTGCAATGACACAGATGGAGCTAGAGAATATCACACTAAGTGAGGTAAGTCAGAGACAAACACCATATAATTTCACTCAGATGTAGAATTTAAGAAACCAAACAAACAAGCAAAGGGAAAAGAGAGAGAGAAAAAGTGGCAAACCAAGAAACAGACTCTGAACTATAGAGAACAAACTGCTGGTTACCAGAGGGGAGGTGGGGTAGATGGGTTAAATAGGTGATGGGGGTTAAGGAGGGCACTTGTTGTGATGAGCACTGGGTGATATATAGAAGTGCTGAATCACTGTATTGTACACCTGAAACATTATACTGTGTGTTAACTAACGGAAATTTAAATAAAAATTTAAAGAAAATCTTCTAAAATAAGTAAACAATCTTTTTTCTTATTTATTTATTTATTTATTTATTTATTTATTTATTTATTTGACAGGCAGAGACCACAAGTAAGCAGAGAGAGGTGGACGCAGGCTCCCTGCTGAGCAGAAAGCCTGATGCGGGGCTCGATCCCAGGACCCTGGGATCATGACCTGAGGCGAAGGCAGAGGCTTTAACCCACTGAGCCAACCAGGTACCCCATAAATAAATAATCTTAGAATAAAGAGGAAGAAACACCATTTACAAAAACAAGATTCTTAAGTTGAGTGGGCTTCAGAAAGCCCTTCCATCTCAACGAGAAGGAATCTTATACTGCCACTATGGGCAGATTGGAGGTTCCTCAGAAAACTAAAAACAGAGCTACTATATGACCCCGTAATCCCACTTCTGGAGATATACCAAAGGAAACAAAATCATTATCTCAAAGCGATACCTATATTGTGTTCACTGCAGCATTATTCACAATAGCCAAAGTGGAAATAACCTAACGTGTCCATCGATGGATGAATGATAAAGAAAATGTGGAATATACATATAAAATGGACTATTATTCAGGGGCGCCTGGGTGGCTCAGTTGGTTAAGTGTCTGCCTTCAGCTCAGGTTACGATCCTGGGGTCCTGGGATTGAGCTTTACTTTGGGCTCCTTGCTCATTGGGGAGTCTGCTTCTCTCTCTCCCTCTGCTGCTTGCCCTGCTTGTGTTCTCTTAAGTGCATACTCCCAATCTCTCTCAAATAAATAAATAAATATTTGAAGGAAAAAAAAGGAAATCCTCCCATTTGCAATAATATGAATGAACATGGTGGGATTATGCTAAGTGAAATAAGCCAGACTGTGAAAGAAAATACTGCATGGTATCACTTATATGTGGAATCTATTAAAAATAAAGTAAAACTCTTAGAAACAAAGAGTAGAATGGTGGTTGCCAGAGGCTATGGAGTGGGGGGGATGGGGACAGACTGGTAAAAGGATACAAACTTCCAATTACAAGATGAATAAAGTCTGAGGATCTAATATATAACACGGTGACCACAGCTGATAATACTGTATTGTATAACTGAAGTTTGCTAAAGAGTAGAACTTCAGTGTCCTCACCTCTCAAAAAGCAAATATGTAAAGTGATAGATGTGTTAATAAACTCAATTGTGGGCATCTTTTCACAATGTTTGCCTATAACAGCTTATCACATTGTACACTTAAAAATTTTTGTCAATTATTCCTGAAAATATTAGCTAGGAAAAACAAAACAAAACAAAACTCTAATCTACCAGTACTTAAAAGGATACTACTAACTTGTAATATTCAGGGCCAGTAAGAGATTTCTACTCACACTGATGAAAGGACAATTCCTGCTTTTATACAAGTCAAATACATGGAATAGATCATTATGCTTAGAATGACCTAAACCTGACCTATTTAAAGATTATCTCTGGAGATGAAATATATCAACTACAAAAGAGCACACTGATTTTTTTTAAAGCTCAGATTTTGGCAGACTGGTTGCATAATACAATTCTATGACTTAAAATAGTAACTGCCTACCAAAACATAAGCAACCTAGATATGTCAAAATTCCAGCATTACCAGCAAGACTGCATTATCTGAATCTTAAAAATGTGATCATGATGACTTCACTAACCAGATACTCCTAGCCTGGCTGACAGCAATATCATCGCAAGCCATATACAATCATCATTTATCAATTATTGCACTGGTGTGGTTTTTTTTAAACTATAAAATCACATAGAAAAGGGGTGCCTGGGTGGTTCAGTCATTAAGCATCTGCCTTCAGCTCAGGTCATGATCTCAGGGTTTTGGGATGGAGCCCCACATCGGGCTCTCTGCTCGGTAGGGAGCCTGCTTCTCCCACTCCCACTCCCCCACTTGTGTTCCCTCTCTCACTGTGTCTCTCTCTGTCAAATAAATAAATAAAAATCTTAAAAAATAAAATAAAACCACATAAAAATTATTTTAGAACAATTCCATTGTTTTGGGTACTTCTGTTGTTTAGACTCCCAGTTGAACAATTTCCTACAGTAATGTAATACTGAGTAACAAAATGGCTTTATGGTCATGTAATTTCTGATCTCTCTTAACAAACACATGCTTTCAGAGAGCAAACCATACCACTTCACACTCCAACAGAAGGGTCTATAACAAGTAACATACTACATAATCCCATTAAGGTTTCAGGTTTTAAGACCTGATCCAATTTCCTCACTGCCTCATTATATAAACAGAACTACCCAGAAAATCATAGGCAAATACAAAAGAAAGACATTCTGGCTATTTAAGTCTAACTTCAACTACATTTTATAACACAATAGTCAAGTCTTAGGGTGCCTGGATGGTTCAGTTGGCTAAGTGGCCGGCTTCTGAACTGGGCTCTGATCATGATCTCAGGGTCCTGGGATCAAGCTCCGCACTGTCCAGCTCCATGCTCAGCAGGGGAGTCTGCTTGAGGATTCTCTCTCTCCCTTTTCCTCTGCCCCTGTCCCTGCTCATGTGCATGTACACATGCTCGCTTTCAAATAAATAAATCTTAAAAGAAAAAACACACACACACACACACACCAAAAAACCCACAATAGTCAAGTCTTTAGGACTACAATCTTTAAACTTTGAGGCTTAAATTAAGCTAATTTAACTGGTTTTATTTTGTTTCAAAAAGATTAGTGTCCCAAATACCTGTTTTGCAGCTTTCTTAGCCTCATGCTTCCTTTGATTTTTAAGGGCTGTTTTTGATAATGGCTTATCATTTCCTGCTTGTGGTTTCATATTCTGAGGTGGTTCCTCCTCATGCTGTGGAAAATGTAAAATAAACAACTGTGAAATGGAATCCATGTTTTTAAAAACATGTATCACAAAGTATACAATTTTGTTACTGTGGGATAAATGTATTTTATTAAATTTATTTTAAGATCACTGGCAAAGGATATTTTAAAACTCAGTAGTAGGCACATTCCAACTATCAGGATGGATTTAATGAGGATCTTATTATTAGTGGATATATGATGTCTTTCAGTTATACAAGTGCTGGCAAAACACAGTATAGTTTTGTTAAAACAATGGAACTTTTCTTAGTACTACTACTGACACATGCTTCATAGCAAATCAGATACTAACAACAGCTTCTTCCAGGCTCTTTTTGGATCTGACTACTGCCAACTGAAACCCAGTTACCTCATTTGCTTTCTTTACACAAAGATTACTTGCTAGGTCTTTACATGCAAAATCAGAGATTAGAAGATTAAAAAATAAAAGCAAATTAAAAACTAAAACAGATCAGAAGGAAAAAAAAACCAAACAGCAAGTGGTAACTATATTTGTAAATCCAGGATTAACATAATGACAAAGCTCACAAAAAACTAAATAACTGGTCAGACTATAATAATAAAAAGAGAAAATCATTTCCATCAGGAGATACTTATATAACCATCCATCAACTATATTCCACAACAGAAAGGATCACTTAAGGATAGGATCAAGGAGGAGCTAGCATAGAACATGGTGACTATGGTTAACAACACTGTATCATATAACTGAAATTGCTGAAATTTGCTGAGAACTCAAATGTTCTCACCATAATAAATAAATAATAATGAGGTGATAGATTCATTAATTAACTATATCTCACAATATATACATATATCAAATCACCATGATGTACACTTAGATATCTTATCATTCTACATGTCAGTTATATTTCAATAAAAAATATATATACACAGGTTTAAGTCATCTCCACAGTTGCCTGAGGCCACACGGAGCATGCGTGGTCGCACCACAGCTTATCAGGCTCACGTTTACTTATTGATTTCCCTCCAAAGTGCTGTTATCTCAGTGTTAACTGTCTCTTAGACTCTTATCATACTCAGCACATGTAAAGAACCAAATCTCCATGAAGTTTCCTAAGTACTAGATTTCAGACCCCTGTGGTACTTGTAAGTGCTATAAGGAGATGGGCAGGGCTCAAACACTGAAGGTACAGAAGGAAGAAATGAGAAACCATACTGTGACTTTATCTTAGCTGCATCAACTATTTCAGGTCATCAAAGTTCTCGGTGTATACATGCTCTACCTGAAGTAACTAGTATTTGTAGAACAGACAATTTGATGGCAAGTCTCTTTCACTTCTTTGTTATCCACACTGAATATAATATTAGTTAAGACATAGCAGTATTTGCTGAACATGTGTTTTATACATCAAAATTCTTTCCACAGTGGGCTCTCCTACAGTACCTTGCTTTGGGTGAGAAGCTTCTAGTCATGAGACCGTCAAAAAAAAAAAAAAATGACAAAGCAATTAAAAATGATGTAAGGAAGGACAAGTAATAAGGCTCTTCTACACCATGAACACTATGTAGTCACTGACAGACTTTCATTTCAGACACAGAAAATCCACATGGCTACTACGGATCATGAGTTTTTCTGGCCATAGTACTGTGCCCACCATAACTTCATCCGTGTTAATAAAATTTGTTTTTTCATTTATGTCAATTATTACCAGACTGTCCTAATGAGTACACTATAAAAGGGAAGGTTTTTTGGAAAGCCAAGAAATACTTAAGTAGAATTCATTTGTGAATTTCTATTTATAAAAAAAGCTAGGAAGTTTTTTCTTGAGAGAAAATCCCATCTCTTTTTTGTCCCTTTTGCTATCTAACCCTCCTCCCTTGTGAAGTTATTTACAAAAATGTCTTTGTTTCTATTAATTTGATTTTTTTTTTTTTTGCCACTTAGCTCATTTCTAGAATTTGATACAAACAAAAATTTCTCACTGGGCATGTAATTCCTTCAACTAAAATGATTTGATAGGATCACATAATCACCATGTCACATACAAAACCAAAAATTTAGTGGAAATCTTAAGTGTTACAACAATGCTGTTTTTTTAGAAGTTCTTACAAAGTTTTATCACTATTTTCAAAGTTTATCTTTCTCTTCCTCTCCCTATCAAAACAAATTAGTTTTATGAATCAGAGAATAAAAATACATATTGACTTAGAATTTATTCCTCTTGTGCAACCTTACAGATATTTAGAAGCCAGGATATGTTGAGGTTGTTTCTGTTTTTATCTTAGGCAAGGAACATTTTAATACAGAGAATAAGACAAATCCAAAGACTACTGTACCTCTCTTTTTTTATTCTAAATGCCAAGTATCATAAATGGGGCTTAATTTGTTCATATATTTTTATATGTTTTTAGTAAATAATACAACAAGAATGTTTCAACAGGACACTTCAATGAAGTCAAGAAGTTACAGACTACTGCTAGGTTTTGTGGAGGATGGCTATTCTTTTGTTTTTGAGAGGGTTAGGAGTGGCATGGGGGAGGCATAGGAGAATTTATCCTCTGAAAAAGTATCTACTTCCCTAACTGCCTCATAGTTAAGTGACTATATAGCCCTGTTTACTTGGTTCCAACTTACACCGATGGTATGGTCACCACTATAATACTAATAATATTATTGTTCATTCTTGCAGAAAACTTTATTCCTTAACATCATCCCAGAGACTCAGGTCATTAGTAAATGCTTCCCCTGAGCTCTGAGATGCTAACATTTTAAAGCATATCAGAACCTGACCAATGCTCTGGTCCTAAATTTATGATATAAATGGGAACGAACAGCCTAAGGAAAACAAATATGTTTTGTTTGACCAACAGTGTTTTAAAAATTGAGAAATTTTATGTAACCATCCAGACTTGTTTTGTCTTGAAAAATCAGACCTTTTGGCAAACTGTGCCCAAATCTCCAATGGAAACAATCAGCTGCTACTGTGTAGTTGTGGTGGCCTTTAAAGAGGGCATGGTCTCTCCCTTGCACCATTCTCCCCCAGTCACCAAAGCCTTACATTACCAGCCTCGCCTGATAGGCATCTGAATTTGAGCCCATGATCTCTATAAAGCCAGTATGTTATACTCCCTTCTCTTTCCCACATACGTAAAACGTGAACTGCTTTCAATTGACTACTTTGTCAACTTGACAGTGCTAGCTGTTCATGATCTTCAGCAGTAGGTCCTCCATGATTTCCACTCTAGGGTTTATATTCTAATCAGGTACTAAGTAACGCAAGAAAATGCATGAGAAAAAGGTCTCCAGAACTCCACACACTGAAAAATCTTTTCCCACCAAAGTAGTAAAACGTTGCTTACCAGTTTGGAATTGGTGACTGGCTTATTTCTTAAAGCTGGGGGTCTGTAAGCTGTTGCAACTTTAGGTTCTTCACTGGGTACATCACTTGGAACTGCTTGGTAAGTTATTGCTTTTACTGGAAATATTCCATCTAAAAATGGCTGCCAAGAAACCTGCCATAATTCTCCATCTGACGGGACATCATACTTGTGCAAGACAGAGCCAGTATAATGCCAAATCTTGTACCCATTATTAACACGTAACCTGGGAGCACACGTGGCTGTTAAGATATGCTCACCATCAGGGCACCAAGCAAAATAGGTAGAATCAGAGGCCACTGGTTTAGAAATAAGTTTGTAGTTTTTAACATCCCATACTTCCATTTGTCCCCTCAGATTTCCAAATCCAGCCAGTACTAATATATGTCCATGTGGGCTATAGTAGGCAGCATTACGGGGACCAGTTCCAAAGTCAAACACAGGATCACATTTCAAGTTGAAAATTGTTGCTTTGGCAGGCATAAAACCATAAACAGCACAAAACTCAGTAGAACTAGAATTCCAAACAACATCATAAATGGGGCCATTTTTTGCTAGAAAAAAATATAAGACCCAAATTAGCAATAAATCATTACATGAATACAATATTTATTAGCCAAGTTATAACTGTATAATACTCATAAATATGTCAAACAGTAAAAAAAAAATCCAAAAATTTCAAGATATGTTACAATTAAAGTATTATATGATATACTATGGCAATTAATGCTTTATCTTAATTTCTTTTAAACATTTTGGCAATATAGGCTCATAGAAATATATATTATTAGTCCTAATAAGCTAGTTTTCATTAGAAGAAGTAATATAGGGACATAGTAATAAAAATACAAATTATATAAAATGATATGCCACAAAATAATTCCCTCCACACAAAGGCAACCCTCTATTATGTTCTTTGTATATGCTTTCAAAATATTTTTGTTGAAATTAAGTATCTCTCTTGAACACACATATACACTCGCACTGAAGTTCTTTGCTGTTTAATTTAGTACTCTATCTTAGAGATTTTTCCATATGAGCACATTAAGATCTGCCTCAGTCTTCCAGTGGTAGTGTATTCCTGTATACTCTCAACTGTGAGTGTATACAAACACATCTGCAGGAGTGAACCTGGCTGCTCAAAGGTATGTACATTTACTTGATAAAGCCAAAATGCCCCTCAGAGAAGCTGTACCATTTTACACTATTGAAAGCATTTTTCTTTTAAAGATTATTAACTTTTTTTTTTTTTTTGCAATCTCTAATCCCAGTGTGGGGTTTGAACTCTCAACCCAAGATCAAGAGTCACAAGCTTTTCTGAGTGAGCCACCCAAGTGCCCCATGAGCAGTTTTTTGGTTTTTTTTTGAGCAGTTCTTGAGTGTACAAATTTTCCCCTCAGTCTCCCTCACGTTGTGTAGTTTCATACTTTAATCTTTGCCAAGCTACTGAGAGAAAAACCTTTCTATTTCTTTTATTATAAACTAAGCACCTTTTAATATATTTATACATAATTTCGTTTGTTTCTGTGGACTGTTTTTTACTGTCCCATGCTTATTTTTCTCTCCAATTATTGTTCTTTTACTGATTTGATAGAATAACAAAATTCACCTTTCTCATATTCATCCCTTGTCTGTCTAAAAATTTTTCCCCAATTTTTTTTTGTCTTGCTTAATTTATGGGCTTTTCTTCCTCCCATGTAGAAATCTGTATTTTATATATTTGCTTTCCCTTATTCTTCTGCTATGTTAGAAAATCTTTTTTCACTTTCAAGATTAGAAGAGAAGGTTGGGGTGCCTTAGTGGCAGATCAATTAAGCATGAAACTTTAGCTCAGATCATGATCTCAAGGTCCTGTGAATGAGCCCTGTCTTGGGTTCCCTGCTTAGCTGGGTATTTGCTTGTCCTTCTCCCTCTGCCTCTCCACCTGCTCATGCTCACTCACTCTCTCTCTCAAATAAATTAAAGAAAAAAGATTAGAAAAAAAGAGAAAAAAATCAACTTTAGAACCAGTTTATCTAGTTAAAAAAAAAAAAAAGACAACAAACCTTGGCTTTTTAATTTTTAGGTTAATTTGGAGAGAAATGGCAACAAACCCTGGCTTTTTAATTTTTAGGTTAATTTGGAAAGAAATGACATCTTCATAAACACTTCTATTTTTTTTTTTTAAGATTTTATTTATTTATTTGACAGAGAGAGCAAGCACAAGCAGAGGGAGCGGGAGAGGGAGAAGCAGGCTCCTGGCTGAGTGGGGAGCTTGATGCTACTGAGCCACCCAGGTGCCCCTATGAAACTCTTCTTAATAAAGGTCACATTTTGCCTCTTAGAAGTTTTGAAGTTTTCTTTCCATTAGTCCTATGTATTTCTTGCCTTTTGTTAGTTTCTATGGGATCTTTCCTTTCATTATGTTTTTCAAGTGGCTGTTTATACTGTGACTTCATGTACATGCACAGATATGATTCTGTTTTCTTTCAAAACTGTATATTTATTCTTTTGATCAGTTACACTGACTAGGTCTTCCACAATATTAAATTATAGTAGAATCCTTGATGACTTCAGAGGGAATACAAAGTTTTTTTTTAATAAGCAAGTTTTTTATAAGGAAGTACCTTACTTTTACATGTTCAATTCAAAATGAAAAGTCAAGGAGTTGCCAGAATTTTAGAACTGTAATATTCTCAGTAATTTAGCTCATCAAAACAAAAGATGAAATGGTAACATTCCTCAGTTCTGAAGACAATGCTAAACTCACTAGACCAACTTACTGTCATAATAAGTCCCTAGAGAGTACTACAATGAAATTACCTCACTCGATAAATTCCCCAGAACTAAATAAACTGGATTTTGTCAAAATAATCTATGTTTGGGGATGATTTTAGGTTTGTTAATTAAGAGAAATTTTACTTTAAAGGTTATTAAAATATTTGAGTTTTGTCATGTGATCAAGAATTTGCATTAGATCCTCTTTATGGCATAATGCTCTTTCTGTTGTCTTATCACAAGAAGACAAATGAATACTCACGCAATTGCACAACAGCACTTTCTCCATTCGCTGCAATGTAGTGCAGTGTTTGTTCCCCATAGTAGGACGCTCCTGTCTTGTCAACATCTGTACTAGCTATTACTAACACAGCAGTAGCTATAATAGTAAAAACTTCAGTTAGATTTAAAACACAAATTAACCTAATATTGATAAGGAAAAAATTCCAAAAAATGTAACAGAGCACATTTTCATTAAATAAGCATCGCTATTCTTTTTTTCTAAACATACAGGAATATGTCAATATTTGATAAATGAAATATAATTATCATACCTTTTTTATTCCATAGCATTGTAACTTTATCAGCTTTAAAGAAACTTTTATTAGCTAAAGCTGCATGAGGTCCATCAAAATTAGGGTACTGATACAATCTAACAAATGAAGGTGCACCCTTACTTCCCGGAACATAGACAGCCACCTGAAATACACACATATAAATCATTACTTAGTTTTTTCAGGCATATAAACTAAGATGGACATGTTTTTACAGTCACTAAGAACCAGGAAAAGGTTTAATCTAGTTACATTCCACATGAACAAAAACAAAGAAATTACCTTGTATGGTTGGGGTCCAGGCGATAACACAAAATCATTAATTTTTTGCAAATGCAATTTATTTGCAATTGTGTCTGAAAAAAAGCAGAAAGTGTTAGATGGACGAGAGACGCTAATAGGAACACGATCAATTCTGAATGCATTATAAAAGATTAATTTAACTACACATTGATACTATTCATTACAGTCTCATGTAGGTAAGGCGTACGGTGGAAAAAATGTGGAGTGGGAACAACACAGACCTAGATTTGAATTCCTACCCAGTCACTTACTAGCTGGGTGACCTTGGTGAGTAATGGGACTGCACATCTAACTCCCACTGATGACTTTAAGAAAACAGTGTTCTTTCTTATATAAATGGTCCCACTAGGTAACCAAGTAGTAGATGGGGGAATTTCTCTTTATAAAAGTAATATAGCTTATAAGTGACAGGGGAGGTGGGGAGATTTGGAACATCAACAATTTGCAACCACTCATAAAATAATGGATCCAAGCACTGAACATTAATGTCAGCTAATCCTACAAAATTAAAGACCATTAAGATGTCATGAGCTTCTTGATAAAAGAATTGAGCACCGCTTATGAGGTAGATTTGCCCTCATCACCCCAAAAAGAAGAATCTGAAGCTGACCAGCTCTAGATCCAAGTAGCTATTTAAGGGACAAATGAATATGATAAACTATAGGATAGGATACAATAGCAAAATTTAACCATGAGAAAAATATATGACAAGTAACCTTGTTTCTTTACTAATAAATTTCAACGGGGGGGCAGAGGAGATGGGAGTGGGAACTAATAGCTTAAAAGAAACTTAAAGATATATATATACCAATTTACAATGTGAGGAGCCTTATTTGGAGCCCAAGTTTAAAAAAAATTATAACATCTGCAATTATTAGAATTTGGATACCGACCAGATATTTTATAATCTGTGATAATGGTATTGTAGCTAAGTCTTAAAAAATTAAAGAGCCCTAATCCTCAAAGATACATACTGAGATACTTACAGGGAAAATGATGCTATGTCTAGGATTTACTTTAGCAGAGTAAAAGAGATAGATGTTAGGTAGAGAGATGTATGGATGAGGCAGGACTGGCAATGCACTGAAGGTTATTGGGACTAGGTGTCAACTTTTATGTTTCAAATTCTACATAACAAAACATTTTAAAAATCCATATCACAGAACTTTGATAGCAACTAAACACAGAAAGAGTATGCAAGTGTTTTAATTTAATAGCAATTATTAGATAATAAAAGCTTATTATAGAAAAATCTTTGTTGTAGAATTTTAGTTGGCACTTAGACTTACAAAAGTTATCCAAATGAATTAATGTAACAATGATTATTAAAATATTAACAGTATTTAGGAGAACCCTATGATGCTATATAAGGCAATAAAACTATATACACTTAGAGTAAATAATAAACTTAGTGCATATATCCATACTAAAATTGTTGTTCTCAAAGAAGTGAACTTCGTTGTTAACATTTCGGGCGCAGACAGTTTCATCTTCTGACCAAGATGGACACCTATGTTGAAAAGAAAGAGTATGAACAAAATTTAGACAGGTGTAACCTCACATGTTAACATGCTAAAGTTAGTGATATTGCTTACTATTTAAGGAAAATTACTGATAAATATGTCAAGTCAGATCCCAATAGCTTTAGTTAGCATTTGTACTAGAAAGACACCATTCTCTTTCATTCAAATCTAAACAAATGAAAGATCAAGTTTTTCAGAGGAAAATTACATTCCCACACAAAATCCCTCAAGACCTAGATTTTAGTCGGACAAGTTATTTTCTATTTTAGTACCTGAGAAAAAATATTATATAATGAATACATTTAAAATATTTTGTAAATAATTAGTATTTTAAAGCATTTATTTACCAATTTTGCATTTTTTTCTGGATGAAAGACTTCAAACATGTACCAGTTTTCACATCATAAAGTTGTAGGTTGGGTATCCCAGCTGTGCCATCTTTAGAAGCTAAAATAAAAACATTTTTTTTGCAGTAATTGTCTCCTAATGCTAGTAAAAAGAATTCTTTCAAAGAACAACTTTGAACAAGATTATAAAGATCAAGTGAAAGAGTTGCTTTGAATCAACTTTCTCTTTTAGCTTTAATTATGGATTTAATCATCCCTTCCTAAAGCCACAATTTGACAGCTGTTTGAGCAAAAGTTTAGCATTTCTGAAATGAGTTAATTACTACAGATTTTAAGAATACTTAAAAGACTTGTATTAAGTTTGACATGGTTTGCAGTTAAGTGGATTAAATTCTGATATTATGAAATCTTATTTCTGTAAGTCACACACATAAACACACAAAATTACATTAACTACTCATGATCCTCAATTTCCTTTTTATTTACTTGAAAATGAAGATTCATTCAAGTCTATGCCTCTTGGAAGAACAAACCTAGAGGGTTTATAACCCAACAACGGGCTATTATATATTTAACTTAACATATGCCCACGTTATTAAAACATGTTTAAAAAGCCCCTATACCAGTTCTAAATTATTATTCATCTATGAAGCACAGCCATATAAAATGTTCATATAACATATTATTTTATCTTTAAATGTGTTAAAAAATGGCACATTTCCTACTCTGTCACACCATACGCATTTCTTACCTATTGCGTCTATTTACTTTCTCTTTGAGTGACAATAATTATTTACTCATTTGTTTTTTTAAAGATTTTATTTATTTATTTGAGAGATCACAGGTAGGCAGAGAGGCAGGCAGCGGCGGGGGGGGCGGGGGGAGGCTCCCCACTGAGCAGAGAGCCCGATGCAGGGGCTCGATCCCAGGACCCTGAGACCATGACCCAAGACGAAGGCAGAGGATTAACCCCACTGAGCCATCCAGGCGCCCTTGACTGGCAATGATATATTTTTTTAAAGATTTTATTTATTTATTTGACAGAGATCACAAATAGGCAGAGAGGCAGACAAAGAGAGAGGAAGGGAAGCAGGCTCCCTGCTGAGCAGAGAGCCCAATGAGGGGCTCCATCCTAGGACCCTGGGATCATGACCTGAGCTGAAGGCAGAGCTTTAACCCACTGAGCCACCCAGGCACCGCCCGGCAATGATTATTTAAAATATTTTTCATTTAAGGGCCATTATTATCCTTAATTTTTAAGATCTTCTCCAACCAGTGGTTATTCACTTGAGCTTTTTCTTTTTCTCTATCTCATGATGGATCTTTTCACTAACTTACTATACCTTCAAATTACTTAAAGTACATTATATTGCAGCCATATAAGATTCATTGTTCAGTGAAGATACTCACAAACACTATTTACTATCTAAAGATTAATTACTTTCATATAAGGTTTTAAACTTTCTCTCTTTTATTCCCCCCACTGAACTGAATTGGTCCTGTCAATATTTTTACAATTGGAAAATACTTACTAGTGTAAGGTTGCCACGTTGCCAGGACAGTGTTTTTTGGTGAGAACTCAAGGCAAACTGCCTTTGGGAGGTCAAAGGAGTGCAGCAGTCCCTTGTTAGTGACATTGATAACATTTATTCTGGTTTCAAAAGAAAGTACTTTAGCAATGAAATACTGTTTTAAAATAGCCAGCAAGATCCAAAACATTCATGCCTCTTTTCAAATACAGACTGCTATAAAGTGGTCATTTTCAGAAAAATCAATTTTCAGTTAATTCTAGAAAATATCTAAAGAACACCTTAAAAACAACAACAAAAACCAAGTGTACATTTTACCAAAATGCCCCTATATAAGGTTGGTGTTGGGAAACACAGACTTAGCAGAAGGATATAATAGATGATTCCATTTTTAGCTGAAAAGAAAATAGGCCTTTAAGTGGACATAGAGATACAGATAAGCTGACATGTATCAAACCAAGGGAAAACAGAAGTACTAAACTGAAAGTATATTTTTTAATTTGACTAAATGGAAGTTGTAGCGGCTGTGAAATCATCAAGGAGACTTTTGATGTCTATTAAAATCTCAGAAGTAATCTCCAAAAAATAAGACTAAGAATTATCGTGATATGATAATGATAAAAATCATAATAATTGTATAATAAAAGCCATTCCACTTTTTGGATGCTTTCTATGAACCATGTTCTGGTCTAACCACTTTATATACATTTTCTCATTTAATCCTCACAAGAAACTTAAAAGATAGGTATCATTGTCTCTATTTTACAAATGGTAAAAGCGAGGCTTAGAAAAATAAATGATTTGTCCAAGATAATACTATTGATAAATGCCAGAGTCGAGTTTTAAAACCAGTTTGGCTTGACTTATCTTATGTACTCTTATAGGTTAAAAAAAAAAAAAAAAAAAAAAAAGATACTCCATCTTACTTTAGAAAATTGCTTAAAGTTACTTTGTTCTACTCAAGTTTGAACCACTGGTTTAGGATAAGCGAAGCTGGTAAGAATGAATAATTACTGCATACTGTTTAAACACACACACACATAAATACACAGGATTCTTTACAAGTTACTATAAATTACATATTTTAGAATTACATGAAACTTTCGTTTTTTGTTATTGTTGATAGCCTTTAATAGTTACTCTTAGTTTAACAGAGTATTTATTTACACTAAAAAAACCCACATATTTAAGGAAAAATCAGTTATAGTTTCTGATTAATTAACTATGGCCTCAGCAAAGACCACAATCAATACACTACATCTGTTTCTGTTGTCCCCAGAAACATTATATGTTGTTGTGGTTGCAGAAATTGAAGGAAATAAATGCTAGAACCAGGGATAGAAAGTATCTATTAAAAAGATGGACACAACAAATGGGCACATATTAAAAGGTTTGAGAGCTGAATACAACAGAAAGCCAATCGGGGATATGAAATACATAAAATAAATAATTGTGAAGGTGAAAACAGACTTACTCAAACAACTCTAAGCTAGTAGAGTAAGGGATACCTCAAAAAGATAACAGACAATGAAAGGAAGTATATTATGTCTCATTAGTAAATTTCTATTAGCTTATTACTCACAGTATAAACTAAAATATAGATTTTAATTTTTTTTCAAAATTACCCTTAAAATATACATCTTAAAAAATAAGGGATGCCTGGTGGCTCAGTCGGTTAAACGTCTGCCTTCAGCTCAGGTCATGATCCCAGGGTCCTGGAATCGAGTCCGGCATCTGGCTCCCTGCTCAGCTGGGAGTCTGATTCTCCCTCCGCGTGCTGCTCTCCCTGCTTGTGCTCTCTCTCTCTCTGACAAATAAATAAGAAAATCTTAAAAATGAAACAAAATAAAATAAAACTCAAATACTGACAATAGGTCACACCAAAAATAAGAAAATTTGAGAGTACATTCTTTGAAACTGAGATTAAGACTTTGTCTGTTAACATTGTGGTTAAGACCCAATATGATCATACTCTTTTTTTTTTTTTTACGATTGTATTCATTCATTTGAGAGAGACAAAGAATGAGTTTGGGTGTGGGGGGAGGAGCAGAGGGAGAGGACCAAGCAGACTCTGTTTAACATGCAGACCCCAACATGGGGCTCAATTCCAGAACTCTGAGATCATGACCTGAGCCAAAATCAAGAGCAGAACGCTCAACTGACTGACCCACCCAGGCACCCCCAATATTATTATATTCTTACTAATTTATGAGTAGTAGTTTACTGGTTGGCTTCAATAACTTAAAAAAATAAGGTTATTAACCTTTTTAATTACAAAAACTAATTCTGCCAGCTACTCATAGTCATCCAAAGTGAATCATCTAATTCAACACAATCTTTTTAGCATTAATTTTTAAAAATCAGGTGTTTAATCCAATCTGACTTTAGAATCCATCATCACTGTGTAACAAACAACATTTAAAATGTACTTTTCATATTAATGAATATATTTTCTACCTTTTAAAAAACCTAAGGTATTATATCTGGTTAAAAACAACAACCAAAATAACTTTAAATCAAGCAACAAATACTTAGGCATTTTCCTGGTTCTTTGAACTGAAATGTTGTAGTGACTATGGAAAAATTGAGAGTGATTTTCTTAGTAAAATTATGAGTATTTAATCAGAATACTTCTTTTTTGCAAAACTAATTTTGTAATCTGATTATCTTATGTAACAGAAACTACACTAATGTACTTTTGAATAATTTATAAAATACTTAAATGACATACTTTTATATATAATAAAACTCAAAGAAATAACTGTTGTTATTAATTTAAAAGCATAGATATAAGTATCTAAGTCTAAGGCAAACAAACAAAGAAGTTATTCTCTAAGTGTTAGTGCAGAACTGAAGAAACCCTTACCAATAACATAGAACATATTTAAAACAACTCAGCTTCTCCAGCATTAAATTAACTGCCTCTTTTAATATATTACTTTTTAATCCTAAGAAACTATGGTAAGTCAAGTCATGGCATATAAATAGAAGTTAAGAACTTTGGAGTTCTAGGGGAGCTACACTGGAGATAATATCTAACCACATCATGACATTAAAAGAAGGAATTTACTAATGACATCCAAACACTGTTATTCAAATAATGCCACTTATGTTTTATACTGATAAAAATATATTATATAAAGAAACACTAACTTTTCTCCGTTGCCCCAGGCAAACAAGGTGCCATCCTTACTAAAAGTATAGACTTTGCAATTTTTCCCAGATTCCCTGAAAATGACAAGAAAAAAAGTTTAATAAGCATTATTATTTTGAAAAAAAATGATTAAAAATTTACAATCTTACTACTAATTTAATGATTATGAACTTACATAAATTTAAGAAGTAATTCCAAAATGCTTTAGTCTACCAAATGCCTTATCTCTTAAAATGCAGTGCCAACAACCACTGTAAAGTAAGGTGGAAACTGATGTTACATCAACAGGTCAATCTTAAGAAGAAAAGAGAGCCCTTTTGGGTGATTAACTAGTTTGTATGAAAACTCAAAAATGTAAGTGAACATGGAAGTCACCAGCTGTCAGCCCTAATCTTAAGAGGGCTGAAGGATTTCAATATGGAGACTTTGTAAAGAATGCCCCAGATCGCCTGCACAACAACCTAACTATGGATAGAATACCCTCAAGTAACCAATAAGTACCCCTGGATTTGAAGGACAAAGATCTTCCATCAATTTCCGATGTACAGAGACAAGAAGTGTAACAACAGTAAGAGGATCTTCATGTTGAACTGTGGATGCAAGATTCTCTATAAGAATAGACTTAGGAAATCAGACTTCTTGGCAATATTCTATCCAATGATCAAAACTCTACATACTGTATCTCTCAACTGGAGATGGCTACTAGGAGTACATCTCCCAGCAATAAGGAACATACAAACAGAAATGTGTATGTGGGCACATGCAGAATGTCCATATGTGTAGTCACATAAAACCAGAACTTCATCAGCTAACAACCATTTGAATTATTAAATAACAAGCACTGAGAACTGACCAGGACATCGCCCTTAAACTGGATACTATCTTTACATTACTAATTCATCTGAAGATGGTATCTGTGTTTCTGCAATCACATAATAATGGTAGCTTATACTCAACTTGAGGTTACTGAAACATTATTTTTTGTCCTCTTCTCACATAAACAACTATGAACAAGAAGTCCTCCATCTTCCACCTGTGCTGCAACTTATTTCATTTAATACCCAGTCCTTGGATATACAGGTTTTTAAAAGCTCCCCATGTCATTCTAGTGTGCAGCCAAATTTGAGAGCCACTCATCTAAAATCTCAACTAAGGTCACAGGAATCAACTTTAGGGGGGGGTCACACTAACCTTAAGATGGGACACTTTGAGCATTGGGAAGAAAAAAATAATGAGTCCATATTGATATATGCAAGTCTATCCTTTCATTCTTATGCTAAAAAAAAATTGGTTTCTAATGATTTTTAATGTTATATATTTATTTATTTATATCATACAATGGATTTAAAATGGCAGTATCAATTTTCTGTTACCAAGAAAACAACTGAATGCATTTCAGAATTTTGCATGTCATCATATGGTTATGCCACCAACTTAAACTTAGTATTTTTATTATAATTTTCCGTTTACCCATTCATTGTTTTTTCTAGGAAAAAATATATCTGTATCTACCTAATTATATATATATTTTTTCTATTTCCTTCCTTTCCTATACCTTTTCCATTCTCTGACTTCGTGAAGAGTATAGCCGGTGGCTTGGTTATCACATTTGCAAGTTTTTCTTCATCCCCCCAAGATAAGATTCTTCGAAGCTAAAGGCTTGAACTCAAATATACTAATGTCTACACTTTTTCTCTTAAACATGCTGAATTATTATTTTCACATCTAAAGATTGATCATTTTTCTCGATAAAGATTATGCATTCTTTCCATCTTCTGTTGATATTACATAACACACCCCAAGAAACCAGCTTATCTGTTCTTTCTTTCTTGTTCAGAATGTAACAGCAAAAAAATAATTTAGGATGTGTCATATAGTTCCCCATAACCTTGGTCAACAATATAAACCATACCTTGGAAACAAAGTGCTTTCTGTAAAATGTGGTGGTCCATTTACCATGTACAGTCCTTCTGATCCTCGGACTAAAGAAACAAAATGGAAAAAACCACCATCAGTTTGTTAATAAATACTCAGTAATCACAAATATTTTAAAAAACAAAAAGCTTTCAGGGGCACCTGGGTGGCTCAGTCAACCAAAGCATCTACCTTCAGTTCAGGTACTGGGGTCCTGGGATATAGTCTGAGTCAGGCTCCCTGCTCAGTGGGGAGCCTACTTCTCCCTCCCTTTCCCCCAACCCCTGCTCATGCGCTCTCACTCTCTCAAATAAAATCTTAAAAAAAAAAAAAGCTATCAAAGTATCAATAAACATTTCCTAGAACTATAGAATGTTAAAAGGGTACCTTTTTCAATAAATAAATAAATAAATAAATAGGTACATTTTTCTTAACCCTATTGCATGAAATCCTGCAACTGCTGGGAAATCAATAGGTACTGCACTGGAATGAATGTTTATGTCCCCCCACAAATTCTCATGTTGAAACACTTATCCCAATGTGATAGTATTTGGAACTGGGGCCTTTTGGAAGTAACCCGATTCATGAAGGTAGAGACCTCATAAATCAGATTAGTGCCCTTCTAAGAAGAGCTCCAGAAAGCTAGCTAGCTCTCTTTCTGCCATGTAAGGATATAATAAAAAGCTGGCAGTCTGCAACCTGGAAGAGGATATAGAAAGCAGGGTAGCTGTGTGATTAAAAACAAAACAAAACAAAACAAAACAAAAACGTAAAAATACAGAATATATTCAAAGTTCTTAAAAAAGTAAGGTATTATTAATATATTTACAATTTCTCAAACTAAGAGAACAAGTGGGATGAAACACATTTACTGTGTTTCCAATAATGGTAAAATCCTAAAAACTAAAGTCAGAACAGAATTCAAGATTAAGCAAAAACGTCGACAGAATATATATATATATATTTTTTAAAGATTATTTATTTATTTTATAAAGAGAGACAGTGAGCATAAAAAGAGGGAGCAGCAGGCAGAGGGAGAGGGAGAAGCAGGCTCTTCACTGAGCAGGGAGCCCGATGCGGGGACCCAGAACCCTGGAATCATGGCTTGAGCTGAAGGCAGACGCTTAACGACTGAACCACCCAGGTGTCACAGATTAATTTTTTATATATATATATATATATATATATTTTTTTTTTTTTTTAAGATTTTATTTATGTACTTGTCAGAGAGAGTGAGCACAGGCAGACAGATTGGCAGGCAGAGGCAGAGGGAGAAGCAGACTCCCTGCTGAGCAAGGAGCCCAATGTGGGACTCGATGCCAGGACGCTGGGATCATGACCTGAGCCGAAGGCAGCCGCTTAACCAACTGAGCCACCCAGGCATCCCTTAATTATATATTTTTAAATGGCTGACTTAGAAGCTTCTAAAGCTGAATCAAAGAAATTGATCCGTTCATTTGAAAAATGCTTCCTGAGCAAAAATAAAAACTACCTCCCAAACCTTATGTAGAGTACTGATGATACAACAGGGAGGAAAATCAGCCTTGTGCTAACCTCATTAATCACATAATCAGTCAAATACATGGAATTCTGTAAGTGTGCTTAGTGCTATAAAGTAAAGATTTATGGAGCTAATCCAGTGAATAACAGGGAGTTTTGATCTAAAAATGGAAGGTTAGGGAAAGTGTCCTGGAGTACAGGATTTGTGTGCTGAGTTCTGGAGGATGGATAGTAGTTAACAAGCAAAGAGAACAGCAACGAGTGCAAAAACTCAATGGCAAAAGAGATGATAGAGCATCAGAAGCAACTAAAGGCCTTTATGGAAGTAACTGAGCTGGAGAAGAAAACAGGGCTCAGACCAAGCACGATCTCTTGTGGCCTAAGTTAGGCAACGTTGGTCTGTGGCCTAAGGTGGGAAACTTCTAAAGGGCTTTAGGTAAAAATTTTTTTTAAAGATTTTATTTATTTATTCAACAGAGAGAGAGATCACAAGTAGGCAGAGAGGCAGGCAGAGAGAGAGGGGGAAGCAGGCACCCCGCTGTGCAGAGAGCCCAATGCAGGGCTCGAGCCCCGGACCCCGAGATCATGACCTGAGCCGAAGGCAGAGGCTTAACCTACTGAGCCACCCAGGCGCCCCTAGGTGAATTTCAAGAACCAGTTTTGCATTTTGAAAAGGTCAATCTGGTCCAGCATAGAGAATAAACTGGAAGAAAGACTGGATAAGACTATTCAAGACAGTTCTGCAGTGGTCCCACAGGAGAGTATGGATACTTGGAACTGGTGGGGTGCAGTGGAAATGGTGAGTGTGTGTTCAATATTTAAGAGATAAGACTGGCAGAACCTGGTGATGAGTTACTATTTTGTCAGCTAAAATTCTTGCTAGCAGCAACAGTTAAGCACTGAATAGAAGAAAAACTTATACTAAGGTTCATGGTTGTAATTCTATCTGCTTCCTTTTCTGCCAGCTGTTCACAAATCTTCCACTCTTCCTTTTAGTGAGAAAGCAGCACAACTGGTAAACAGGGCCACTCTTGGCTCCATTTTCCTTCTCAAGGTACAGTTCTCATAGCACTGATTTTCTTTTTTTTTCTTTAAAGATTTATTTATTTGACAGAGACAGAGAGGGCAAGAGAGAGCACTGGGAAGAAGGGAGGGAGAACCAAGCTCCCCATGGAGCAGGGAGCCTGATTCAGGGCTTGATCCCAGGACCCTGGGACCATGACCTGATCCAAAGATAGACACTTAACCAACTGAGCCACCCAGGAGCCCCATCATTACACTGATTTTCTACCTGAGAATTAACTAGTTCAATTTTCAGATATTGAAAGTAATATAACTTATAGTCCCAAAGTAAGTAATTTAAAGTCAGGAACTTATTAAGGAAAAGAACCACTGATGAACAAGACAAAAAAACAAACAAACAAAAAAAAACTATGCCCTTATGGAGCTTCCACTCTAGTGGAGGGACCAAGATAAATAAACACACAACTAAACCATTAGTTGCTTGTTAGATATCCACAAGTATACAAGTCCATACCATGTTTCCTCACATGCAAGCACTAGACTGAATGGTCAAACTGTTACAGGTCATTTGGCCTTGAATAGAATGAAGCCTAGAGAAGTGTTCTGCATGTATCAAGACTTGTAACACTACACAGCTTACAAGGCAAGGCTCTATAGGATCTGGTCCCTTCACAGCTCTGTGTGCTAGGCATGAGGGATTTAAAAAAATGAATCCATAACTGCATTCAAGGCAATAATTTCAAAGGAGCTCAGTCTATTACTATGCCTTGAATGAAACACTGAGATTTTAAAACTATGAACTATAATTCTCTAGCATCAAAATTCTCAACTGCTTCTCAGTTTTTTGGCTAAGATCAAGGGTAGCATCAAAATTCTTTTACTACACAGGCAAAACAGTGCTATTTCTCATCACCGAATCATTTGCTGTAACGTAAGGTACAACTCATTAGCATTTAGAATAGGCCATTCTTTTCTTTAACCCACTGAGCAACCCAGGCGCTCCCAGGCCATTCTTTTCTTAATACTATAACAGCTTTAACAAACACTTATCTCAGGGTTTAATAAAAAGTAAATTTACCAAACTAGGGAGTTTATTAGTTTCCAGATTACACTTTAATAATAGGCTACATACAATTGTCGGCCTAATGAGGTCCCTCCCACAAGCTGCTATTGTGGTTTAACACACTAAGGGCTCTCTTACAGAATTTACATATAGACCTAGGAAAATAAAACAGCATATCATCAGTGAAGTCCCAATGAAGTTGCAGTGTAATGAGAAAATGTGCCACAAGATGATGCAATCAAACCATGTTCTGTTTTAACTGCTGACCCTGAGAACATAACGCTTGAAGCGGCTGGCAAAACAGAAAAAACAAGCTTTATCGATCTCATCTCAGCCCCTTGTGTTCTCATGAACTTGGAACTAGTGACTTGGTCCTCCATATTTGTTCATTTTTCTGTTATCAGCAACCACAATGTTATAGTTGGGGTGAAATTCAAAGTTTTTGTACATTATACAGTTGACCCCTGAACAACACAGGGGTTAGGAGTGCTGGATCCGGTGTAACTCAAAATGCGTGAATAACCTGACTCCCCCAAATATTTAACTACTAATAGCCTACAGCTGACCAGAAGCCTTACTGCTGATATAAATGATTAACACATATTTTGTATATTTCATATCTTCATACCAAACTAAGACAGGTGGAAAACTCCAAAGCACCTACTACATACCATTTACCACCCACATCATTCAAATGTTGAAACTTAATCCCTGATGTGGTGGTATCTGGAGATAGGCCTCTGGGAGGTGATTAGATTCCGACAGCAGAGCCCCCAGGAATAGGATTAGATTAGATTAAATAGATTAAAAGAGATACCTGAAACCAAGAGATTTCCGGAAGCTCCCTCGCCCCTCCTAGTCCCTCCTAGCCCTATGCGGACACAGCAGACAATGGCTCTCTGAATCAGTAAACAGGTTCTCACCAAACAATCAAATCTTCCAGTACCTTGAAGTAGACTTTCCCAGACTACAGATGTATGGGAAATAAATGTTGTTTAAGCCACCCACTCTATGATATTTTTGTTACTGGAGCCTGAATGGACTGAGACAGAGTAGCAGTGAGAAATAAAAACTACTTAACCCACCCTCTTTCATACAGATTGTTAACTCAAAATCTTAAAAGGCAACACTTGACAGAAAAGTCCGTGCAAGAAGTGTCACTCTTGAGTGCCACTCAAGAAGCATTCAGTCTCATGTGGTTTTCAGTTCCTGGTTTTAGTATGTTTCTGGAGAAGCAAAATCTTGAGTGAAATTGATCACCTTCTTTTCAACATGCACATGTTCACATTCTAAATAAAGAGTTTTAAAACAAAAATCCAAAAAGTTGTATGTTCTGATTCCATTTATATAACATTCTTGGAATGACAAAATCACTGAGGATAGATCAGTGGCTGCCCATGGTTAGAGTGGAAAGAAGAGTATGACTATAAAAGGATAGCATCTTTTTCTTCTTTTTTTAGAGAGAGAGCGCGTACAGTGAGG